CACACACACACACACACACACACACACACACACACACACACATATTGCGAACTAGCAGACAGGCAAGCAAGCCAACATGATGCCAGTTTGTCAGGCGAAGCAGGTTCTTCAGCCGGCCAGTCGAGAGATGCACCCACCAACTGAAAGCCACGAAATAACCCGGTCGGACACTAAAACGACACGGATGAAGAGCGCTGGTCTTATAAATCCTCTTATTGGCTCCGACTTTCAAAACAGAAATACCCTTAACAGAAAAGGAAACCGCTATAATTGAAAAAAAAAAACAAAAAAAAAAGTGAACAACTCTTTTTTCCTTTCGCCAGTTAAAATATGTGAGGTGAGAAAATATATAAATAGCTGTCCCCCGATGAGGAGAAGACAGCTTTTTTGAAAAAATAATAATAAAAAAAATCCGTACAACGACGCAGAAAGCAGGATATAGAGAAACGTTCCCCGTACTTAAAAGGGCATATTTGCACTCCTCGCCATCTCGGCCCATCTGCCAACATTGCGAATGCATCAGGACAGAATTTCGGTTCAGATCCATTCAGAATTTTGGCAGATGGCGAGTAGTGCAACCAGGCCCGCACAGCGGCTCTTCTTGTTCGTTGCCGACTTCTTCAGCAAGTCCACTCCCTCTGCTCTACATCTGGCTAGCCATCGATCCCGCCATCTCCGCGCAAAGTTCCCGCCATTTCCGCCATATCCGAGTAAGATTCCCGCCATATCCGAGCAAAGTTCCCGCCATATCCAAGCGAAGTTCCCGCCATATCCGAGGACAGTTCCCGCCATATCCGAGCAAAGTTCCCCCCATATCCAAGCAAAGTTCCCGCCATATCCAAGAAAAGTTCACGCCATCACCGCTTACCTGAACGCCATCCACAACCGATGGCCGTAATCACCGGTAGCTCAAAGACGACCCCGCCAGATTCCGCCACCATTCCGCCAGCACTCCGCCAGCACTCCGCCGCCATTCCGCAACCATGCGGACAGACTCCGCCAGATTCCGCCACCATTGCCGCCATGTCCCCACAAAGCTCCCGCGGGATCCGCGCAAAGCTCCCGCGGGATCCGCGCAAAGCTTCCGCCGTCACCGCGGGCCGCCGCCTGGAATACCATTAGGCAGTCCATCAAAGCCGATCCCGCCACATTGGGACACATTTTGCCACCATTGCTGCCATATCCGCGCGAGGCTTCCGCCTTGCACGCATCCGCTCAAGCTTCCCGCCATATGTGTGCAAAGTTCCCGCCATATGCGCGCTAGGTGGTTCCCGCCATCACCGCTCGCCGACCACCTTCAACTCGGGTTGCCACAGCTACTCTGTGCATTGTCGGCGCGCATTGAGCAAGAGTATAGTGTAATCAAAAAAAGACTTCCCGCCCTCTCCAAAGGATACTTGATACAGTCTAATCAGCGTTCCCGCCATTTCGACAGCAGCTGCTTTCCACCATGCGATGACTAAGATTTCCCGCCATCTCAAACTTAAGGAGATGTGATACCATCTAATCATCGTTCCAGCCATTCTCGACAGGTACTCTCCACCGTCGGCGCGCAGTGAGAAAGAATAACCAGTTATTGCGAAGATTTCCCGCCGTCTGCAAGGGTATCTGAAACCATCTAGTCGTCGTTCCCGCCATTTTCGACAACCGCTCTCCACCGTCAGTGATCACAAAGATTTCCCGCCCTTTCCACGGATATTTGATGCCATCTAATCAGCGTTCCCGCCATTTTCGACAGCTACTCACCACCGTCGGTGATTACAAAGATTCCCCGCCATCTCCAAGCAGATCTGAGTCCATCTGAGCACCCGCCATTTTCGAAAGCTGCTCTCCGCCGTCATTTTCGACAGCTCCTCTCCACTGTCGGCGCGCAGTGACATGATGATTTCCCGCCATTCCCGCCATTTCCCGCCATCTCCCGCCATTCCCGCCATCTCCAAGGAGATCCGACACATCTGAGCATCGTCCCCTTCATTTTTTTCGACAGCTACTCTCCACTGTCGTCGGCGCGCAGTGAGAAAGAATACCCGTTGATGACAACAGATTTGCATCAGGAATCTCCAAGGAGATCCAGGACACCATTTGATGGGTTTTCCCGCCATTTTCCTACCTGATCCCCGATCCCGACCATCGTCGCTCGCAGTGAGCATCAGTATATATTGATTCCGGTCATTGCCGGCATCTACCTCCTGCCACCTTCCGACACCTCAGTCGATGTATCCGACCGGATACACAGCCAGATCCAGTCGGGCGCCAACTGCCTCCCTTCTGCCGACTTCCGACAGCTCAGTCGATGTATCCCCCCGACCGGATACACAGCCAGATCCATTCGGGCGCCAACTGCAGGTGAAAGAAAAAGGACACCTTAGTCGACGTATCCGACAGGTAATACAACCAGACTGATCGTGAAAGAAAAAGGACACCTTAGTCGATGTATCCGACAGGGAATACGACCAGATGCAGTCGGCCACCCGCTGCTCGTGAAAGAAAAAAAGTACACCTTACTCGATGTATCCGACCGGAAATACAACCAGATCCAGTCAGCCGCCCACTGCTCGCGAAAAAAAAGTACCCCTTAGTCGATGTATCCGAGCGGAAATACAGCCAGATTCAGTCGGTCGTCCACTGCTCCCGAAAGAAAAAGTACACCTTGGTCGATGTTTCCAGCCTGAAATAAAGCCAGATTCAGTCGACCGCCCACTCGTGAACAAAAAAACGTTCCAAAGATTCTGAAAAGGGAATTAGACGGGCATAGTCAGTCGGGCCGTACTCACACCAGGACGGTTTTTTTCGACTCATCATGTGGACGTGATCGCCGTCAGATACATCCAGCACGAGCCGAACTTGCCGTCAGATACCTCATAGAAAGTCGCAAAAAAAAAGTGTATATCTGCCCTTAACCGTCTTCACCTGAATCGAGCGCACGGTCATTATCGCTGTATCTAGACCCAAAATGGTCCAAGATACATCATGGAAAGTCGTTATCGCTGTATCTAGACCCAAAATGGC